AGGAAAAAAAAAAGCAAACCAACTTTTGTGCTCATTAAGAGTCTTAAAATCCAGCTGGGCTTTGTAAATCCAGGACCTTTTATTGTGGCTGTTTTCCCCCATTCCCTCCCTTCCCAGCAAGGTGGGGAGCAGCTTTGCTGCAGCATCCTGCATTCCTGTCCTTATGCTTTGTCAGACCAAGATCTGGTTTCTTAAGACACCCTCCTCAAGGAGCAAGTCTCCACTGTCACCTTCAGAAAGTCCCTTTTGCAGCATTTCTGCCCAGCACAGACTTCAGGCACCAGGAGGAAGCAAAACCCAAGGGCTGGGTCTGCAGTCACCGAGGCTGGGACACGTTTTCAGCTCAAGGAGTGGGTGCATGGGAACCTCATGAGGCTCAACAAGGCCAAGGGCAAAGTCCTGCACCTGGGTCAGGACAATCCCTGGTATCAGTCCAGGCTGGGGGGCCTTAGGCTGCATCCCCAGCAGTATGGGCAGCAGGGAAAGGCAATTCTGCCCCTCTAATCTACTCTGGTGAGACCCTACATGTCCCATCCCTGGAAGTGTTCAAGGTCAGGGTGGATAGGGCTTTGAGCATCTTGATCTAGTTGAAGATGTCCCAACTCACAGCAGGAAGATGGAACTAAGTGACTTTTAAAGGTCCCTTCCAACCCAAACCACTCTATGATTTGCCTCGTGGAGGCAAAATCTTGCTATGATACCATTTGTTAGGACAGTGTGTCCTCAATGAGGCTCTTGCAGTTTGTCCCTCAGAGATTTGTCCCTTTGAGCTGAGGCTAAGCAAGATTGTGGCACTCTTTGGTGCACCCCCAAGAAATGCACAACCAGAAGAGCAAGCTGGAGAGCCTGAAACCTGCAACATCTAGTTGCTGTGAGGACACTCACGACTGATTTTATAGCGTGAGACTCGAAGTGAACTGGTTTATTTTAAGCTCGCTGAGACCAAGTTTGCCTGGCTAATGCATCCTGACTTTTAGATTGAAGACTTAAATATCTTGAGACTTTGGACAGATTCTTTGGAGGACACACGGCTTGGAGGAGGAAACCAGATTCAAAAATAATACCTGGAATTGTTTCAAGAGTGCTATATCTGATCTTACCAGGACCAAGGGAGCAGCCAAAATATGACCATCTGTTTCCGCTCCCCCCTGCCCTCCTGGCTGACTTCTAACCACCCCACCAGCAGAAAAGGCATTGAGCATCCCATGGAGGAAGGACAGCTCAATAAACCTAACCCCAAAAAGGAACACTTCATTTTAGCAGAGGAAGCCATAGTGATGTGACTCACTCCGTGGCTTTTGAGGCTCTGCCCCACCTTTCAGCACTGTCACTTGGAGGTTATTTTGGGGTTTGCTCTGGTACAACCATGCAGCCCTCGAGCCTTGTGCAGCTCCAGAGCATCAGGGCGATTAAAGACATCTCTGGGATTGCAGAGCACACTCACAAGTTGGGAGGTACAGGAGCCATCAGGGATTGTGCACCTCCCTAATCTCTAGGACAAGCAGATGGGAGACAGGCAGTTTTGGCTTCACTTCTCCCTGCTCTTGACCCTGCCAGGGATGTGCCTGGCCAGCCCAGTCCCTCCAGATGGGACACTGGGAGGGGATCATGCTTGTCAGACTCAGTTCTTCCCCCACTGCTCCTGGGAAACCTGTCCCACCTCCCATCCTGGCTGCCCTTTACTGGTCTGGGGAATGTTTTCTTACTGTGGTTCAGTCACAGAGTCCTTCCTTTGTTCAATTTGCTTAAGGAAGCCACCAAAGGAAGCCTTTATAGGAGTATCATCCACAGCCCTGGAGGGGAAGTGTGGCCATGCTGGAGACAGCTCAAGTGGCAAATACTCAGTGGAGATTCATCTTACACCAGCTGAAGGGCTTTGGCAGCCCTAGAGGCTGCACACAGGGAAAGGAAGGCACACAGCAGGAGCAGCTCTTGCCAGGACAGCTCTGTGACACAGACTCCTCATACAGAGCCACTCTGAGCAGCACTGTGGGTTTAGCAAGGAGCTTTGTGCTGCCATCCCAAGCCAATTCCCCACCTGAGCCCACCACTGCTGCACCCTCCCTCCTTCAGACAGGAGATGGAAACAGACCTCTGGGATGGTCTTTTCAGGATCATCCCATTAAGCCATCTGTATGACCACACTACAACATGCTATGTTGCCTCGGCACAGTAAAACACACTCAGAGCCCTCAGAACATCATTTCAGGGCGGATTTTTCTGCCTTTTCCATCAGCCACTGCTGTAAAGCTGTGCTGAGAGGCAGCTCCATCCCCCAGCAGGAAGCTGTGTCTCATTAGCAGAGGTAAACAATTCTTCTGAACGTGACGAGTCAGGAGAGCATATTAAATATATCCATATCTCAGCGTTTCCTAATCCCTACTCCAGAACAGCATGTTGCAGCAGGAGAGGACCCCCCAGCACGGCTCAGAACCCCAGCTGACATCTCCCCCTCTTTGGGGGGTTTGCAGGGAGCCCTTGGGCAGGTATCTTTACCCCTTGACCTCACCTACCCAAGCAACCTTGAGCACTCTATTGATTTCCCTTGCTCAGTTGTCACAGCTGCGAGTAAATAAAATGATAAAAACTATCCAGCCATTACTTTTAAAACATCGACCAGAGCATCCATTTAGCAGCCTCTCTGATTTGGGGTGGACACTGCACTGGAGGAGCTCAGCAGCTCTGGTTCCAGCTCTTCTTCCTGGCACACATAGAAGTGGAAAAGCCACACGTGGCTCAAGTTCAGGCTGTAACAGGAGGAGCAAACCCCAGTGCAGCACTCACAGCTTTACTGTCAGGCAGGTGTGTGTCAGAGCTAGACAGCACTGAAAACAGGTTGAGTTTTGACCTGTTTTATCAACTGGGTTTTGCTGCTTGCCCTGGCAGCCTCGTGTACACACACACTGTGCTGTATTTTACAGGACTCCCCTTGTCTCCCCAAGGCTGTCACTGCCTCCCTGCAAAGGAGCCTGGTGCTCACGTACAGATCAGCTGCTCACTGTTTTGTTTTATCCCCTGTACTGACAGAGCAGCCTCCTGCCTTATTTACAGCGTGCTGCTCGCACACTGCTCCGAGCACAGAATTATTTATGTCCTCCTGAGCTTTTCAGGGCTCCTGGGCTCCGTGGCCTCCACTCTCTGTGCAAACAGCCACGTTCAGCTCATGGCTCTGAGCTGCAGGGAGGCACCCAAAGCCCATTTTACAGACAGGGAGGGGAGAGAAACTCTTAGTAGTTTCTAGGAGTTTTGATTGTCCAGCTCAAAGTGATAAAGCTCAGGTTTTTCCAAAGCATCTCTTGTTACACAGCAGTTTCCATGTTCAAAGCACAGCTCCACTTTGCACCCAAGAGCTCTTCCTTTGTACAAGGTAGATCCTCTCCACTGCTTTGCCTGGGGTGTACATGGGGCACCCTAAAAGCAGGTCACAAGAATTCAAGATTCCAACGGTTTTCCAGGTCAAACCAAGCCACAGTGCAGGGTTATTCCCCAGTGCCATGGACACCAACAGCCCCTTCCCATGCTTGCAGCAGGGCTCTCCCAGCCCAGCCAGATCCCAGCGCTGCACCTCGGTTTCTGGAGCCCCCAGGTACCAGCATCAGCTCCCTGCAGCCTAGCACAGCTCTGGCACTGCAGGAGGTCCCCAGAGCCAGATGGGAACACACTGCTCCCTGCACACAGCACCTTCCCCTGGCTCCTGACCACGCACAGAGCACCCACAAACCAAACCACAGCCCTCAGCTCAGTCTTACCTTGCAAGTCCGCTGTGCTTGAAAGGGCCAGACCTCACACCCCAGCAGGCTGCTCACCTCCAGCCAGCAGCTCTGTTCAGCTCCAGCTGCTTTATCACCTCCTCCTCCTCTGCCAGGTGCCTCTGCCTCCTTGACGAGGGTCCCACTGCAACAGAGCTTGCTGTCGTACCAATCCCTGTCCCTCCCCAATCCCCTGGATTTTGAGTCTGAGAGGGAGGTAAAGTGACAGCAAGAGATGCTTCATATGCAAAAAAAAAAAAAGATTTGCAGTGTTGCAGAGTTTATTTGTGGTCTGTTCCCACTATAACACAGCCCTACATCATCCCTGAGGCAGGTCTGACCCTCACACTTGCTCCTGGAGGCAGAGGCTACAGGGCAAGTAATGTCAGGCACATATGGATGAGCAAAAACCCATTGGCACAGCTAATAACCCTCATACACACCTCCAAAACTTCAACATTTGGTGTGTGACCTTGACAATTCGTCCTAGTGCAGCTCAGCACATGTGGATGTGGATGTGTGTCCCTGCAAAACATACTGGATTGGCCTTGCACTGTCACTTGTAGGCAAAATGGGATGACTGGAGCTTTTGTCCCAAGTCTGCAGGCAGTGGACACTGTCACCTGGGTGGGATGAGCCATCCTTCCCACCATGGTCCCTGCAGGCAGGTGAGGACCATGGTTCTGAGAACACAGATCTCTGCTCTCTTCTACTGCCCAATCCTGTCACAGTTTGAAGCTGGGAAAATTGGTTTTCTCTCCTCTATCAGTGCTCAGGGGCACTGAGGGGATGGTGTGTCCCCAGCATGGCTGGCATGGATGTGTTTGGGGGATTTTAGCCATTCAGTGTTTGCAAGGTAGCAGGGTGAACACAGCCTTGCCTAGGCTTGTAGCTCAGCCAAGCTTAACCAAAGTTTCTCAGAGACCATCTCAGGGAAGTTGCTTTCTATGAAAATTTCCCCTGTGCCAAATTGAAAAGTCCTTTCCCAAAGGGCCTTTGAAGGGAAACAGCTCAGCTGTTCTTACAGCAAAGCTGCATCTTTCTGTCTTAAATCCATGCTCAGAACCAGCATCCTTCAAAGCCAGGTCCCCAGCACACACTCCAGTTCAGCCCAGCAGTTAACATTTGACACAAGCAAACAAACCCAAAGTAATGGTGTGAGCTCTGCCATGTGCCTGCAATGCCCACACAATGCCCACACAATACCCAGGATTTGCCTTCTTGCTCTGGTGACCGTTGTTGTTGTTCCAGGAGAACCCATACCTGTGCAGCGACGAGTGCGACGCCTCCAACCCAGACCTGGCTCACCCACCGAAACTCATGTTCGACAGCGAGGACGAGGGACTGGCCACGTACTGGCAGAGCGTGACGTGGCGCCGCTACCCAGAGCCACTGCTGGCCAACATCACACTGTCCTGGAACAAGAGCATCGAGCTGACAGACGACATCGTGATCACCTTCGAGTACGGGCGACCCACCATCATGATCCTGGAGAAGTCGCTGGACAACGGGAGGACTTGGCACCCGTATCAGTATTACGCAGATGACTGCATGGAGGCCTTCAGCATGCCAGCACGGAGGGTCCGGGACCTCTCCACCACCAGTGCCAACAGGGTCCTCTGCACGGAGGAGTATTCCCGCTGGGCGGGCTCCAAAAAAGAGAAGACCGTCCGGTTCGAGGTGAGGGATCGCTTTGCCATCTTTGCTGGCCCTGACCTCAAGAACATGGACAACTTGTACACTCGACTGGAGAGCGCCAAAGGGCTCAAGGACTTCTTTACCGTGACCGACCTGCGGATGAGGCTGCTGAGACCTGCCCTGGGGGGCACCTACGTGCAGAGGGAGAACTTGTACAAGTACTTCTATGCTGTCTCCAACATTGAAGTCACTGGCAGGTAATGGCTGCTGTGTTTCTTTGGGCATCTCTTCTCAGAGGGACAACACAAGGGTTATCGCTAGGAAAACTAAGCCTTCAGTGTTTCTGCTGACCGATAGATAACCAGTGTTTCTCCCTCTAATAGCCTTTCTCCCCAGGCAAGGCAGCACTGGAAATAAAACAGATGTGTCCTTGCAGGGAACAGCTAGGGCACCTCCAAGGCTGTGTCTGAGAAGAGCTGTGTCCTCCCAGTGCTGGGGGAGCTGGGACATGGCTTGGATGGACAGTCAGGGGCTGAGTTCTCTCCAATACCCTGTGCAAACGCAGCCAGCCCCCACCCAAAAGTCTTAGGGGTGATGCTAGTGGATCTGGGAGGTGAGGAATGAGGCTCACCCCACTAAACTCTGTCTCACTGCCAGTACCAGCAGGATGGGTCATCCTAAGTCAGTCCTGCACCCCTGGAGCAGATGAAGTTTGGGGTGAGGGCAAACCCTCTGACAGATCTGGGGCAGGGGAGGCAGGAGGGGGGGGTTGTTTCTCCTGGGTTTTGTTTTTTTTTCTCTGTACTATGCCATATGCTACATTATGACATCAACCAAAAATGCAAAGTAAGGTGGAAAAGTGCCGAGATGGCTAATTTCCCATCCAGCCTGTGGCTTCGGCTTGTGCGAGACTTACAGACGAGAGGGGAAAAAATCTCCCCATCACCCACCCCGTGCTAACAAGCATCACCACAGTGACAGAGGAGCCGTTTGTATCGGATCCAAACTCTTTGCTTCTGAGACTTGTGAGTAGAAATGTTTTGCAGGTGCCACTGAGACTGCCTTTGAACAGGCTCCAAGGGGAAGGAAGCCGCAGCGAGGGGTGGGAGAGCCTTTTCCACCCGCCAGGGCAGGCAGGAGGCAGCACTGAAGGGCTAGGTCTTTCTCACAGTGTGGTTGCCTGTCTGGGATGAGCAGCTGTGGTTCTCAGCTGGGTTGGTGGCATCTCAGGGTGCCCACCGTGAGGATTGCTTGGGGAGGAGCCCTGGGGGGCTCAGGCACACAGGTAGAGGAGCAGGAGAGCAGCTCTGTGTGTAAGGTTTCAGTGCAATGTGCTTCTGTATAAATATGTGAGACAGGCATTTTACACCTGACCATAAGAAGTATTTCCAAGTGTGCTAAATATCCACAGTCCTCAAACAGCTCAGGATGGAGTAAAATAGCAAAAAGGGTGAAAGGGAGGGAAAGCAGTAAGAGTTGGAGCTGGTGTATCAACCTATCCAGGCTGCTTAGACTCTGTGACAGGGACACAGAGTTTTCAGCTCAGAAAGTGGTAAATGAGGACTAAATGTTTGATGTCAACACTTACATAATGACCTTTGGCTTCTAAGCATGGACCTAATTGTGCAGATAACCAAGGACTTGTTGCTGCAGCTGTGGGATGCTTGATGCTTCAGAGTTAAAGTACTGATGGTGCCCTGGGAAAGCCTTCCTCCTCCTCCCTCTACCTTCTCTGCCTGCCTTGGGCAGGATTTGTTACTTCAGTCCTTTGGACTTCAGGCCATGTTGATGGGATGCTCCCTAAACCAGCACCTTGCTGTTGGTTGTCCTCCTCTCCCCACACCCAGTCCCCCACCAGCTTTTGAACTCACTGGCCAAATTTAATACCAGTTAATAGCATCAGATACCAGTTCAAGAGAGAAAACCCCCACCAATTTTGTGAAAAGAGGCAACTAGGGCAGGGGAGGAAAACCCTTTCAAACACCCAAGGGTGGAGGGGGGAGCACAACGTCTATGAGATATCTGAGATTCCACAGCCACCTGCACCCTGAGGACAGCACTGGCGAGGGAGGGTCAGGCTGAGAACGCCCAGTGGAAGCTGCAATGCTGCTCTTTAGCTGGGGCCAGAACAAGACAGGTTGGGGTTTGTTGGCTGGTTCCTGGCTGCCTCCCCCCAGGGCTGGCACGATGCCGGCGTGGCCAGCTGCCCACGGCTGCTGCAGAGCCTGCTCACCTCCTCTTCCCTCTTGGCTCTGCTCACCAGGAGCTGCCTGACTGACTCCTCCAATGCAGCAGGACCTCTGGGAGGACAGGGCTTTTCCTTGGCTGGGAACAGAGAAACCTCTGAAATCTGCTTCTTTTTTTTTTTTTTTTTTAGCCCAAACTCCAAGTCCTGAGTTACAGCAAGACCTAGCTTTGTACTGCTCCAGCTCTCCCAGCTTGCTGGGTTAGTTCCCAGGAGAGTGGCACACTCATCCTGGACAGGGAAGAGGTCAATGCTTGTTCTGTGTTGACTCTTCCAGCCCTGTGCCCAGCTGAGGAGCTGTGGATAAGTGGTGTATAAGATGGAGAAGCTTCACGTGAATTAACTCTGCTCCTGTGATTATTCCAGTCCCAGCAAGCAGGTTTTTTCACTGAAAAGCAATCTGATCCCAGCTGTAAGCAAAGCCAGTTACAGTGCAGGGACTAAAACCAAATTAAATCTTGTGTATGGCTCAACAAGGGATGGGTTATTGAGAGGAAGAGAGGAGAAATCAATGTGAGCCTGACAGGAGCACTGTGCAGGGAAGGGGGGAAGGGCAGGCAGGGATGGGGATGGATACACACTGCCTCTTCCAGGACGTGGGAACAACCATGCTTGAGGAACAGGAGGAAAGTGCCTAAATAAGATGAGGATAGTGTTAGGGATCCACTACAGGGGTCATGAAAACAAGAGGGAAATGATGATGAAGAATTGAGGGCTCAAAGACAAAAAAGCAGCCAAAAAATTCCACCTGGAGAGCAGAGACTGAGCAGCCCTGGGAGGCTGGAGGAGCTGTGCCAGGCACAGTGTGTGGCACTGGAGGAGCTGTGTGTGCTGTCAGAGTTTGTGACATTGCCTGTGCCCCTGTACAGCACCAGGATTTTGGCAGGCAGCTGGCAGTGCCCATGGGGTGATGAGACATGACTGCTCATTTTCCTCTCCCTTGAGGAGAAGGGGAAGGAGTTTGCTGCCTTCTCTTGTCCTGTAGACCAGGTAGACCAGAGCAGCCAATAGTTTGCCAGAGAGTCTAGTGAATCCTGAGGGTCACTGCTTCTTTGCTGGGTGTTGGAGCAATGGGCTGGTGCTTCAGGGTCTCCTCTGCATCTCCTCCTGCCACAACCTCACCCAGGTCCATTTCTCCGTTCATGACTGACAGTTTATTTTTACTCTCTTTCTTCTTGGTATCTTTTTCTTTTTTTTTTTTTTCATTCTTCCATCCTGTCCCTATTGATCTGCAGAGTAACTGGAGATGCTGAAGAGTCAAGACAGGAATAGACACTCACAAGCCCTTGGCCTGTGTGTTGTGTGTGTGCCAGGCAGGGTGGGGAAGGGAAGTGGAAAGACTTTTCCCCACAGGTCTCTATTCATTGCTTAGTTTTCTCCTCGGTGCAGCAACGAGCTTGGCCATCTACTCAGGAACGGGTGAATGAGCTTTTCCTGGCTGCTGGGACTGCTGGTTGGTGTGATAAAGCCACTGGGTCTCTTTCCATTACACACTGTGTCTCTTTGGAGTAATTTTTTCCCCCTCATAACGTCAGTCACCGCCGTGCTCAGCAGGGCACGCTCCATCACGGAGACATTAATAAGCTGTAATTGAAGTTAATGTGCCATGGCCAGGACATGTGGATCCAGTTAGGAGAAATCAGATTGAGCAGAAGTGAATCAATTTTAGGCTGATTATTAAGATTTCTCTCCTTAGTCCTCCCCTGTCCCAGTGCATGCACTGTCTGTCTGTCTGTCCATCCTGCTGGTGATGAGCAGTCCCTGGAGGAAGGAGGAGGAGGGAGCATTCCTCATCACTGAGCAGCTCCATAGAATCATAGAATTTTAGGGGTTGGAATGGACTTTATAGATCATCTAGTCACAACCCCACTAGAGCAGGATGCTCAAGGCTTCATCCAGCCTGGCTTTGAAACATGGAACAGTGAACATGGAGCAGTGTCTCCTCTCAGGCTGCACTCAGGTTGGAGAAGTACCAACAAGATGAGGTTTCCAGTTTTGTAATGGCATTTCCTTTCTTCTCTTCACCAATTGCATTTCTGAGGGTTTCCTTGTCTTCTTCTTTGCTTACACAAAAGAATTGAAGGGAAAGGCCCTCTGTGCTCCCTTGTTCTTTCCCTGCACTCTCAGTGCCATGCATGGATGCTCTCCGGGAGGCTTTTCTCTCCCCATGACTTGGAGAGTTTGCACTAGTGGAGAGCAATTTTGCCCAGCCTGTTATCCTGGTGCCAACAGGCAGGATCAGGCACTCTGGACCTGGAGGATCAAGGCCATCCCTCAAAGCACCTTCTGCAATAAATGGAGCTGGTTGATTGTCAGCGGTACCCACATGCAAGGGATATATTTTTCTGCATTCGTGGTGAGTCTTGAGACATGCAGATGCTCAATGCTGCATTGCTGTTAAAGATGAAGCAATTCCTGCTCAGCCTGGTCACTGACTCCTGCTCTGTCCTCTAGGCCAGTGTATTGAAGGCAGCTCAGTGCACTTACCCTGCAGCTATAGCTCAGCTCAAACCAGGGGTGCCAGCACAAAGTGTGTTCAGGCTGCCCCTGGCTGCTTTGCCCTGCTTGGACATTCCTCCTTCTGGCTCTGTTGATGAAGTTGTTGGAGAGCCTCCAGCTGATCTTGACTTCTCCAACAAAGCTGTCTCTAAAAGGGAAAAAAGAAGCAGGTTTGGTCTGTGGAACAGTCTCTTGTTGAGGGTCTTAGGTTCAATGTTGTTGTTGTTATCCCCACTGAGCACCTCTCCCTGGGGAGCAGAGTGGGTCCTGCACCACTACTGCTTCACCAAAGGGGAACAGGCAGGACTTGGGGTGAATAGTCTGTGAGAACATGGGCTTCCCCAGCTGAGCTTGCACAGCCCCAGTGTTGGAGCTTCAGCCCCAAAATAGTCATGGGCTCACCCAAACATCCCCCAAGAACTAGCCCAATACCCCTACAGTCCTTGGTCAGCTGCTGCCCACCCTCAGCAGCTTTGGGAAGACCACAAAACCCAGGGCAAGCACTGCCTGTGC